TTTTTATGAGTGTTGGGATCTGAACTCGGGTCCTAATGCACACAGTGCCCTTGTACACTGAGCCATCCTCTCCAGCCCTGTCTTTGTACTTTTAGGATACGTAATATACTTGGCTAACTTAGGTAGTCAGTTCCTTCTGTTTTTATTTATTTTTAAGGTCATTGTTGCTATTTGGATAATTTTAAATAGCTAGTTTTAAAGATAAGCCTTGAAGTTTATTATGACCAATGGCGAAAGTCATTTTCTATTACTTTAAAACTCCATAAACAGGACTGATGAGATGACTTGGTGGGTAAAGGCACCTGCTGCCAAAAGTGACAACTTGAATTTGATTCCCAGAACTCGTGTGGTGGAAGGAGGGAACTGATTTTTACAAGTCATCTTTTGAGCTACACATACACAATAAACAAACAAATAAATACTAAAAAGGCAGAAGGGATGTGATGGCACAGGTCTTTAATCCCAGGAGCCTGTAATACCAGCACTTGTGAGGCAGAGGTAGGCAGATCTTTGTGAATTCAAAGACAGCCAGCTCTACATAGAGAGACCCTGTCTCAAAAAAACAAAACAAATCCGGGCGGTGGTGGCGCACACCTTTAATCCCAGCACTCGGGAGGCAGAGCCAGGTGGATCTCTGTGAGTTCGAGGCCAGCCTGGGCTACCAAGTGAGTTCCAGGAAAGGCGCAAAGCTACACAGAGAAACCCTGTCTCGAAAAACCAAAAAAAAAAAAAAAAAAAAAAAAAAAAAAAAAAACCAAACAAACAAAAAGTTAAAGAGGGGAGAAAAAATCCTTAGAAAATATTTTCTTTTTTATTTATTTTTATTTTGTATACAGCGTTCTGCCTGCATATATGCCTACCCACCAGAAGAGGGCACCAGATTTCATTACAGATGGTTGTGAGCCACCATGTGGTTGCTGGGAATTGAACTCAGGACCTCTTCAGGACCTCTGGAAGAGCAACCAGTGCTCTTAACCTCTGAGCCATCTCTCCAACCAAAAATATTTCCCTTATCATATATAAATGAAAGTTGTTTGTTGTTTTTCTTGGTAGTCCTAAGAATGGTCTCCATATTTCTCAAAAGAAAAAAAAAAAGGTTTTCTTGTTACTTTTCATTTCATTGACTTTCTTTTCTTTTTTCATTTTGCTAATCGACCTGGAGAATTTAGACATTCTTTTTTAATTGGCCTAATTTTTTAAGATAACCTCTTAGAGCCCTGGCTGGTAGCATAGGCCTATAGTCCAGCTACTGGGGAGGCTTAAGGCAGGAGGATCTTAGTTTCAAGGTCTATCTGGAAAACTTAGTGGGACCCTGTCTCAAAGTTAAAGTTTTTAAAGGGGTAAGAATGTAGCTTAGTGATAGAGCACTTGCTTAGAGTATGTGAAGCCCTAAATTCATTCCTCAGTACCATCAAAAATTAAAAAAAGGGCTGGAGAGATGGCTCAGTGGTTAAGAGCATTGATTGCTCTTCCAGAGGACCCGGGTTCAAGTCCCAGCATCCACATGGCAGCTCACAACTGTCTGTAACTCAGGTTCCAGGGGATCTGATGCCCTCATACAGACAGACCTGCAGGCAAAACACCAATGTATATAAAGTAAAAATAAATTATTATTTTTTTTTTTTAAAAAAAGGCTACCCCTGAATATCATGATCTGGTTGTTAAATAATATAGGCTCCTTCAATTTCTGATCTGAAATCATGTTAAGTCAAGACATAGTTCAAATTAGAACCCTTTAATCATCTATTCTTTTCATCACTTGTTTTTTGAGATAGGTGTAGACCATGCTGACTTTGAGCTTACTGTATACCTTAGGCTAGCCTCAAACTCTGATCCTCCAGCCTCAGTCTCCCAAGTGCTGGAATTATAGATGTGAGCCACTTGAGTATAGTTCTCCAGTTTGTTTGGCTCACTACTTTTACTTTGTTTCCTTTGGAAACAGTGTGTCTCACTATGTAGCATAAGTTGCCATAACTTTTCCTTTTCCATGTAAAAGACATTTTTAATCAATTTCTAAATTGTACTTGTGATGGCTGTAAGTATTCATCTGAAATGGATTCCATTGACCAAGCTTGAAACACACTGACATTCATAAGGTTTCTGAAATGCCATACTGTATTGGACTGAAACATAATGAGTATGTTTAATTTATGCCTTCATACTGACTCGTACAGAGAGGTAGAGAATGATTCATTGTTTAGAATCCTCCACCCCTTGAGTGTGTGTGTGCTGGTATGTGCATGCATGTGCACATGCAGGTGTATGCTCATCACCGTGCACGTGACAGCCAGAGAATACTTTTGGATGTCAGTCTTTGCCTTCTACATTGTTTGAGACAGTCTTTTCCTTGTTACCTGCTGCATATGCCAGGCCGGCTGGCTCTCAAGGAACCAGAGATCCTGTTTTTGCTCACTATAGAAGCATCAAGATTACAGATAGATACTGTATATGTATTTTAGTGTCAAACTTAGGTCCTCAAAATTGTGTGGCAAATATTTTACCCATTAAACTGTCTCCCTAGCCCTGACTTATTATTTTGAATCTAATAAGACAATTCCAGTTACTGAATTAAGAAAGTATGACTTAGTTTAAATATCACCATTTTCAAAAGTGAACTTCTAGAGCAGTGTAGTGTGGCCTATCTAATATTGTTAATCCTTCCACCAAAATATGGCACATATATTTATATATAGATGGTATAAAAATCAAAGTATATTATAAAAATGGAATGTAAGCTGGGTATGGTAGCATGTGCCTGTATTCCCAGCACTAAATACAGGAGGTTCATGAGTTTGGGGTCAGCCTACACTGTATAGTGAGACCTTGTGTATTAGTCAGGGTTTTCTAGAGGGAAAGAACTTATAGAATGAATATAAGAGAGAGGGGGGGTTATTTATTAGAATGACTTACAGGCTGTGGTCCAGCTAATCCAACAATGGCTATCTACCAGCAGAAGGTCCAAAAATTCAGTAGTTGTTCAGTCCACAAGGCTGGATGTCTCAGCTGGTCTTCAGTAAATACCAGAATCCTGAAGAAGTAGTGAATGCCAGTGAAGGAATGGACTTGCCAGTGAGAACAAGCAAGCAAAGAGTAAACGCTTCCTTCATTCATGTCCTTTATATAGGCATCCAGCAGAAGGTAGCCCAGATTGAAAATGATCTTCCCACTTCAAATGATTTAATTAAGGGAAAAAAAAATCCTTCACAGGTGTGCCCAGCCATTTGAGTTTAGTTCATTCCAGATGTAGCCAAGTAGACAACCAAGAATAGCCATCACAAGTCTACCCCTTGTCAACTTGACACATTATACCTCCTTATGTCATGCTTAATTTCCAAATGAAAACAATAACTAGGTCATAATTATACCTAACATGATATAACTATCCCACAAACAATCACAAAATGCATTATATATTTAATCAGGTTATTATTACACCTAACGTGATAGAACTATCCCTCATAAAACCACAAACACTTCTATCTTAGTCATTGTTCTGTTGCTACGAAGACACACCATAACCACAGCAACTCATAAAAAAGGTAAGCATTATTTGGGGGCTTGCTTAGGTTTCAGAGACTTAGTTCATTGTCGTCATGGTGGGGAGCATGGCAGCACACAGGTAGACATGATGTTGGAGAAGTAGCTGAGAATTCTGTCTGGATCTGCAGGCAGCAGGGAGAGAGAGAGAGAGAGACGGCCTAGCTTGAGCTTCTGAAACCTCAAAGCCCACCCTCAGTGACACACTTCCTCTAAAAAGGCCATGCCTCCTAATTCTTCTAAACCTACCAAAGAGTTCCCCTGCCTGGTGACTAAGCATTCAAATATAAGAGCCCGTGAGAGCCATTCTTAGTTAAAACACCACACCTTAGCCTGGGCATGCCTTTAATCCCAGCACTCGGAAGGCAGAGCTAGGCGGATCTCTGTGAGTTCGAGGCCAGCCTGGTCTACAGAGCGAGATCCAGGACAGGCACCAAAACTACACAGAGAAACCCTGTCTCGAAAAACCAGAAAAAAACAAAACAAAAAACCAAAAACAAACAAACAAAACCCAGCACACCTTGTATCAGGAAGAAACAGAGGACCCCTGGAACCCACTAAAGTGGAAGGAAAGAAGCAGCTGCACAGAGTTGTCCTCTGACCTCCTCCCAAGTTCAGTGTGGCAAGTGTGCCCCTCCATCATGCACACGTGCACCTGCACACATACACACTAATAGTAAATGCTGGGTTAAATCCAGATAGAGTGGGAAAGGGGGTATAACATATCTGAAATAACTGTGTTAAACTCTTCATAGGTCACTGCTGTCTGTCTTTAGCTCAGTGATTTCCAGGAGGCTTGAGCTGTGTGCTTTATCTGGGTTGTTCCAGCAGGGCTCCAAATGGATGTGGCACACTGTTCTGGGCTGGAGCCAGATGGTAATGCAGCACGTTCGCTCTCTTGCTGGGCAGCCTCTGCCCTCGCTGCAGTCTCTTCGGTCTTTACCAGAGTTTCACCTTTGGACAGAGAATGCGCTTACTGGGTGTTCTCTGGATTTCTGGTTTGCTTTGGTCATTCCTCCCCCTCACTTCCTGTCCTCTTCCCGTTTATCCTCCAAGCCTAGGCCAGGTCCCATTTTCCTACAAGCCCTATCCTAATCATTGCTTCTCTAATACCTATTGTGCTGATTTTAGCATCTGTTGAGGAAGGGGGAAACCAGGCCATTTTGTTATTCAAGTGAATCTTCAGCTAGTTAAAAATTGTGTGTTTTAAATGTCACCAGATGTAAATGTTAAAGCAATCTGTTGACCGAGAGAGAGAGAGAGAGAGAGAGAGAGAGAGAGAGAGAGAGAGAGAGAGAGAGAGAGAGAGAGAGAAGGGGGGGATAAAAGAAGCAATAAAAGCATGTTACTCTGGGCACATTTGGAACAGTGGCTGTTTGATTCAAGTCCTTTACCTCCTCAATAAATATGCTGAATGATACAAATTACCTAACTCCATTAATGGCTGCTCTCTTCCTTTTTAGATCATGGCTGCTGTTCCTCTGAACAATCTACAGGAGCAACTGCAGCGTCACTCAGCCAGAAAACTTGATAATAAATTCAACCTTACAAAACCAAAATCTTCGTAAGTATACTCATTAGCATGGAGAGGATAACTCAGTGTCATACAGTTGGAGCTCCTGTCTTTCAGCTCTGTCTAAGATAGGATCCCAGCTGTAGCTCACACTGGCTAGAACATGATTACACCTAACATGATCTAACTGTCCCACATACAGTCACAGCTACTTGCTGTGTTCAGGCCAGCTAGCCTCCCTTATAACAGTCCTGCCTCAGCCTTGTGTGTGCTAGGATTATCACCACACCTGCTTCCAGCTTCTTCATTTTGCAGAGGAAATGAGGGGCTCAGTGGTTTTCCCACTTTGCAGATTAATAGTAGAGCATGTTCTAGCAGATCTGGGTAGCGATTGCTCAGCAGCTTTACACAGTTCAGGCAAAGTTGGATAAACAAGTAATGACGTTTCTTGTAAATTTGCACAGATACTATACTTTAATATAATCTCATATCCTCTGCCAAACTTTGTAGGGAAACGACCACTCTAGTTCTGTTGTCTCCTGCAAGCCATACCCCAAGTTCCTAATGGTGCCTAATAATAATTTGTATTTGGGTGTGCTCTTAGGTTTCAGGCACTGCTCCAGGCACTTGGCTTTCAGGCTGCTTTACAGTCACTATTGACCTTCATGCCATTAATTTCAGCAGATAGCCAGGACTCCCGCCTCCTTTTTGTCCTTCAGATCTCAACAGTTTCTCTTTCTCTCTCTCTCTCTCTCTCTCTCTCTCTCTCTCTCTCTCTCTCTCTCTCTCTTCAACTATTTTCTCCCTTAACATTTTTTATCAGAGTGGTGAAAGCCACGTTAGAGTGTTGTCCTTCTTTTTACACCTGCTGTCTCTTCCTTCTGAAGGTGCTATTAAGGACTGCCAGCCTGAGAAATAAAATTGGGACTGGCCCAAGAACTCTCAAACCCAGTCATTAGCCTCTGAATGGGAAGGATCAGAGCAACCAGATGTATTTGTTACCTGGTAAATTTTCAAAGCCACAGAGGGAGATGGAATCTGTGCTCATTTGTAATAAAATTAATATAACTTGCATTTGAAAATAGGTTTTATAGGTGAGTGAGTTTGTTAAAATGGAAATGGATCTATCCGGGCTGGGATTGTAGCTTATGTTAGAACGCTGACTTAGTGTAAATGAGGCCCTGGGTTCAGTTCTCAGCATCAGAGACAAATGAATTCATCTAATTTTAGTTTTTCCATTATTTTTCAGAGGTTTTACTTTTAAGAAGAAAACGTCAGAGGGCGATGTGTCTATAACTAGTGTGTCAGTGGTGAAAACACCTGCATTAAGTGATAAAGATGTGAATGTGTCTGAGGCCTTTTCATTCACTGAGCCTCCGCTCCACACACCCAAACAGCAGCGTGGGACTGATGGCTTCTTTAAAAATTCTCCGGGAGGACAGCAAACCAAGGGGACCTGTTCCCAACAGTCATTGCTGGACTTGGAGAGTCCTCCAGAAGTTTTATGTACTACCCCAAAAACCCCAGCTGTAAAGAAACGCCACGTTGCTGTTTTCAAGAAATTAGAATTTAGTTCTTCGCCAGATTCCCTCAATGACTGGGCTGATATGGATGACTTTGATATTTCAGCATCAGATGCGTTGGTCTCGCTGACCAAAAATCCTGTCACAAGAGTAAGCACTGCTCAGAAATCAAAGAAGACTAAGAAAAACTTTTTTAAACCACCACCTCCTAAAACAAGTCCCAGAAAGACTGATTTGATGCCTCCTTCCCCGAAAATCCCACAAGTGGATTTGACTGAGGAACAGAAGGATGAGTCGGAATGCCTAAGCAGTGATGTGATTTGCATCGACAGTGACCCTGGTTCTGAAGAGCTCAAGAAGAAAACTAGTCAGCAAAGTCAGTGTTTGGAAACTGATTTGGGAGTTGAAAGAGGTAGCCATTGTCTCATCTTCCTTTCAGTATGTTTACCATCCTTTTTCACTGAAAGTCAAGCATTGGGAATAGTGGCAAACCATTTTTGTCCTTGAGGGTCTTAATATCTGCTGTGCGGGGTTAGCTCTGTGATTGTACATGAAGAAAGTAAGGTCTGCAGAGGTTAAAATGGGTGGCTAGGATAGGATTGGGAAGTGAGGTGAGCCTCTCTGTATGTGTTATTCTTAATGGCTTGCCACCATAAATTATACACCAAATATTGGTGGTAATATGTAATCATCCTGTTTAATACAGTCATGTATCACTTAGTGACAAGGATATGTTCTGAGAAAAATGCATCATTAGGCCATGTTGTCCTGCAGATACCATGGTGCACTTACTTTAACCTGGATGGCAGAGCCTATTGCACATCTGGGTATGTGGTTTGCCTCGTGCTCAGAGGCTCCAAAACCACACATCTGTGAATACTGTAGGTGGTTGTAACACAGTGGAATATGTATCTGTATATCCAAACATTTCTAAATATACAAAAGGTGCAGTAAATATATACCAACTTTTTTTTCAAGAGTTTTGTGTACTGAATAGAGTACATGCCATTAATGGAGCTGAGAACGAGGAGCTTCTCTGACTGAGTGGAAAGTGGATGTGGAGGCCATTTCAGTACATTATAAACACTGCGCTTAGCTCTAGCAAATTCGTTCAGAATTTACACTTCCTCAATGATTACTTTTAGTTCATTGTAATTTTTAATTCTTGTAGTCACACTTAGCTTAAACCATAAAAAAACATTGATTATAGAGCTGTGTAAAATGTTTTCTTTCCTTTTTCTTTTCTTTTTTTTCTTTTCTTTTTCTATTTTAGATGCATCGGTGTTTTGCCATGGGTGTCGGGTCCCCTGGAACTGGAGTTACAGACAGGTGTGAGCTGCCATGTGGGTGCTGGGAATTGAACCTGGGTCCTCTGGAAGAGCAGTCAGTGCTCTTAACCACTGAGCCATCATTCCAGCCCCATGTTTTCTTTTCTTATTTTATGTTGTACTGGTTAGTTTTATGTCAGCTTACAGAAACTAGAGTTATTGGAAGAGGGACTCTTAATTGAGAAAATGTCCCCCACCAATTGGCCTGTGGGCAGGTCAGTAGTCTGTCTTCTTGATTGATGTTTGATGTAGGAGGGCCTAGCTCACCAGGCAGGGCCACCCCTGGGCTGATGGTCCTGGGTGCTATAAGAAAACAGGATGAGCCGGGCGGTGGTGGTACATGCCTTTAATCCCAGCACTCAGGAGGCAGAGGCAGGTGGATCTCTGTGAGTTCGAGGCCAGCCTGGTCTACAGAGCGAGATCCAGGAAAGGCACCAAAGCTACACAGAGAAACCCTGTTTCTAAAAACAAAGAAAGAAAGAAAGAGAGAGAGAGAGAGAGAGAGAGAGAGAGAGAGAGAGAGAGAGAGAGAGAGAGAGAAAGAAAGAAAGAAAGAAAGAAAGAAAGAAAGAAAGAAAGAAAGAAAGAAAGAAAGAAAACAGGATGAGCAAACTAGTAAACAATGGCCTCTGCAACAATTCTTTCCTCCAGGTTCCTTCCCTGATTTCCTGCTCTGACTGCCTGAATGATGGAGAACAAGTTGTAAGATGAAAAAAACACTTTCCTCCCTAAGTTGCTTTTGGTCATGATGTTTCATCAAAGCAATAGAAGCCATAACTAAGATGTGTATATGAGTTTTACCTGATATTGTGTGTGTGTGTGTGTGTGTGTGCATCATATGTGTGCTTTGTGCCTTCAAAGACCAGAAGAAGGCATCAGATCCCTTGGAATCGGAGTTAGAGATGGTTATAAGCCATCTCGTGGGTGTTGGACCCAACCCAGGTCCTCTGCATAAGTAGCAAGTGCTTTTCAAGTACTAAGCCATCTCTCCAGCCCCTGCTCTTAAATTTTTGGTACTCCTGCCTCAGTCCTCTGAGTGTTGAAATTAAGGTTGTAAGCTACCAGACCCAGTTCACCCTTTTCTTTTCCTTTCTTTCTTTCTTTCTTTCTTTCTTTCTTTCTTTCTTTCTTTCTTTCTTTCTTTCTTTCTTTCTTCTTCCTTCCTTCCTTCCTTCCTTCCTTCCTTCCTTCCTTCCTTCCTTCCTTCCTTCCTTCTTTCCCCTTTCCTTCTTTTCCTCCTTCATCCTTCCCCTCCCTTTGCTTCCTTCTCATCTTTCATTTCTTTATTAATGTTCTTTAAAACTAAGACATGAAGATGAACATTAGCTTAACACAGGGATGCTCAGGATCGTGAGCATCGTTGTTTTCTACCATCACATCTCCTCCTAGAAGGTCGTTAGGTGTAAAACCAGGAAATAATCTTTTATCCTCTGCATTCTTTCTGTTTGTTTTGCCTGCATGTATATCTGTGTGAGGGTGTCAGAAGTCCTGGGACTAGAGTTACAGACAGTTGTGAGCTGCCATGTGGGTGCTGGGAATTGAACCCAGGTCCTCTGGAAGAGCAACCAGTGCTTTTAACCACTGAACCATCTCTCCGGCCCCTTGTTTGTTTTCTTTTGTTTTTTGAGACAGGGTCTCTCTACATAGCCCTGGCTATCCTGGGATTCACTGTATAGACCCAGCTGACCTCCAACTCACAGAGCTCCACCTGCCTCTGTCTCAGGAGTACTGGGATTGAAGGTGTGTACCACCACACCCGGCTCTCCTGTGCATTCTTATAGAATACCGTTTGTTCTTTTGTTTTGTTTGAGACAGGTCTCACTATGTTGCCCTGTCTGACCAGGAACTCACAAGGATACACTTGCTTCTGTCTCCTAGATGCCACTACACCCGGTTTAGAATACCTCTTGAAAGGCCTGTATGAGACTGTTGTACAGTAGATGGAATACATTAGTAAATATATACACCAGTGTCACTAGGTTGAGTGTTCTATACTGTAAGTAGTTGTACTATCAGAAACAAAAGAGTAAGGCATTATACTATGATATGAGTATTTCAGCTTTATCTTAACTTGAGACCATTGTCCTGTAGGTGGTTGGTTGTTGGCAGGAATGTCATATGGTATGTGACTATATTATAAATCATATTCAAGATGTTTTCTGGGGGCTGCAGAGATGGCTAATCAGCTAAGGGCATTTGTTGTTTTTGCAGAGGACCTGGGTTTAGTACCCAGCACCCACATGGTGGCTCACAACCATCCTTAATTCCAGTTCCAGGAAATCTGATGACCTCTTCTGACCTCTAAGGGCACTAGCCATGCACATGGTGCATATACATACATGCAGACAGAATACTCATATACAGCCAGGCATAGTAACATTCACCTTTAATCCCAGCACTCAGGAGGTAGAGCAAAGCTTATCTCTGTGAGTTCTGGGACAGCTGAAGCTACATACATTTTGAGACCTTACCTTAAAAATACATACATACATACATAAAATCAAAACCCATCACTCATACACATAAAACAGAAAAAAAATTAAAGACATTTCCTGAATAGGTCTTTTATTTATTATGTGTATGTGTGTGTGAAGATTTGCAGGGAAGGCTAGAAGTCAACAGGACAACTTTGGAATACATCCTCTCCATCCATTCTGAGTTTCAAGCTCAGCTTCTCGGGCTTAAGCATCAAGCACTGTACCCACTGAATCATCTCACTGGCCCTAGTTCATCTTAATTATTATTATTTTTCTTTAAATTTCATGTGTGTGGGTGGTTTACCTTATGTATGTCTGTGTATCACATACATGCCTGGTGTCTTCAGAGGCCAGAAGGTGTTGGATCCCCCCAGGACTGGAGTTACAAATGGTTATGAGCCACCATGTAGGTGTTGGAAGTTGAACCCGAGTCATCTGAAAGAGCAACCAGTGCTTTAAATACTGAGCCAGTCCCTGGTCTTAGTTATTAAAATTTGATAGTCAAGAGCCATGTGGGAGTAACCAGCTTTAGTTAAATATTATATATGAATATAACATTTAAATTTTATTTTGTTATTTATTTATTTTTGAGACAAAGTCTTTCTGCATAATCCTGGCTATCCTGGAACTCCTTATGTAGACCAGGCTGGTCTTGAGCTCACAAAAATATTGCCTTTGCCTCCCAAGTACTGGGATTAAAGGTGTGCACCACAACCCCTGGCTTTAAAATTTTTTTTTTTTTTTTTTTTTTTTTTTTTTTTTTTTTTTTTTGGTTTTTCGAGACAGGGTTTCTCTGTGTAGCTTTGCGCCTTTCCTGGTAGTCCAGGCTGGCCTCGAACTCACAGAGATCCACCTGGCTCTGCCTCCCGAGTGCTGGGATTAAAGGCGTGCGCCACCACCGCCCGGCTAAAATTTTTTAAGAATTGAGTCTTGCTTGTGTTCAGACTTGTCCTGATCTCCCTTGTATTTTAGGAATTGAACCTAGGGAGGTGCACACTAGATAAACACTACCAATAACATATTCTCAGCTTTGTATTTGCTGTTTATTTCGTGACAGGATCTCACCAAATTATCTCACGTATGCCTTAAGCTTACAGTCTTCCTAGCTTAGCCTTCTGGGTAGCTGGAATTACAGGCCATTCTTCTGCCTCTGCCTCCTTAGTAGCTCAGACCATAGACAGGTACATGCCACATCCTGAGACTAAAATTTTAAACACCCAGTTCTATTAAAATTGCTACACAGTGAGAGAGGCTTAAAAGTAATTGATTAAAAAAAAAAAAACAACAACAAACAGCAAAACTATAGTTTAATCCATTTTGTTGTTGATAAAGGCAAAACAGAGCACCAGCGAGATACTTACGTTGCTAGGCCAGCTCTGTGATAGAGATGGTTTATCTATTTAGCAGCAGTGTGTACGTCAGCTCTGGGGCACACCTGGGATCTTGGTTCAGGAGGTGGAGGCAGGAGGATAAAGAGTTCAAAAGTCTAGGCTGTGTAGCAAGTCCCTGTCTCAAGACAAGCAAACAGAAACAAAACAAAACCCACAGTGTTGTTACCTGTGGCCCATTGCTATTATTTAAATATGAGTAGAAAGAGAAAAAACAAAACCCGAGTTTGGACTTCTTCCAGTTGATTGACTTCTTCATGAAGAAATCAGCCAACATGAACCTGCAGGAGACCCCCATACAAATGTTCTGAGTGGTTACGACTTGCCCCAAAAAAGCACTCACTTATAAGAGCTCATGCCTGCTCTGTCTCTAATTGTTAAAAGAACCTGTGTTTGCCAACTGTTTTTCTTTAGATAATAGTGAAAAGGAGAACCACATAGACGAAGTTCAATTACAGTCTACTGAGAAAGCTCTATACTTCCAACCTGATGATGATGATTATGATATAGATTTTGTTCCACCTTCTCCAGAAGAAATGATTTCTCCAGCTTCTTCCTCTTTGGAATACTCTAGGTAAAATGGTTAATAATAAATATTCTTGTTTGTTTCTAAGATGCCTTAAGTAATGTAGTTTAGTTACATAATGTCATTTCTCTATAAGTATTCTTTGTGCTTCTGCAGTTTATTTTGTATTTAAATGAAAACATCCAGAACATTGTTATTTATTTATTTGGTTGTTTAGAAACCATTCTTAGCTGGGCTTGGTGACTCATGCCTTTAGTCCCAGCACTGGGGAGGCAGTGCAGACAGATCTCTGTATTTGAGGCTAGCCTGGTCTACATAGTAAGACTCTTTTTCAAAGACAACAACAAAAAAACAAAACTCTTACTGTGTAATTAAGACTGCCTTTGAATTCAGGATCCCCCTGCCTTAGTTTCCAAGTGCCAGGATTATAAGTAGGAACTACCATAATTGGGGGGGAGGGATTACTATTTTATTTTACTGATCATATTTTAAAGACCTGCATTGATGTTATGCCTGCATGTATGTCTGTGTGAGGAAGCCAGATCCCTTGGAACTGGAGTTGCAGACAGTTGTGAGCTGCCATGTGTGTGCAGGGAATTGAACCTGGATCCTCTGGAAGAGCAGCCAGTGCTCTTAACGGCTGAGCCATCTCTCCAGTCCCATTTAAGTCACTGTTTTGACAGAAACAGATCCTTGTAGAGTATCGTTTGGATTAGGAAGAGAAGGAAGTGTTTTATATGTAACCTTGTGCAATTCCTTGTGGTTTGTGCTTTAAAAATTTTATAATTAGATCTATTCATTTATGATGCTGTTTTGCTTGCGTTTATGTATGTGCACCATCATATATGCTTGATGCCCGAGGAGGTCAGAATGGGGTGTCAGATCTTCTGGAGCTGGAGTTAGGAGTGGTTGTAAACCATCATATGGGTGCTAGGAACTCAACCAGGGTCCTTAGCAAGCAACAGATGCCCTTAACCTCTGAGCCATCTCTCCAGCGCCTGGTTTGTGCTATACCAGCTCTATTGTGATCTCTAAAGAAGTAGTGAAGGTTGAAGTATGATTACTGTTTGTTACAAAACTGAAGAACCGTACGAGCTCACCTGTCTCCTCCTTTCCTTACTGACAGAAAACCAGACAACCATAGAAAGTTAAAAACGGGAGTGAAAGGTCATGTGCCACCAAGACTAAGTCAGCATCCTCATCTAACCTGTGAAACAGCTGAGGCCAGGAAGGATCAGGAAGTCACCCAGAATGAAACAGTTAATAGCAGGTGGACTAAGATCCAGTGTGGCACTCTCTTCGTACCCTACTGTTTCCATGTTGAATGCCTAGCTTTATTCTTTATTAAATATGTGTATTACACAAATGACATTGCAGCCACCTTAGCTAGGATTCTAAAATAGAGGGAAGAAATATTTTGAATTCCAGAATCTAACCAACTATTTTCTTGTCTTTGTTGGTTTTGATCTTCTCTCTGTCTGCTTGATTTTCATGTTGTAATTGATATAACTGTAATTTCAGACTCTGATTCTTTTCTTTTAACACTATTCTCCATATTGCCACATTTAAACTTTATACTTTCCTAATTGATTGAGTTCTTCTCCCATGAGTACCTTTGCTTAGTGTGTTACTTTTCTAATCTCTGGGACAAACAATGTACGAGAAGAAGGATTTTTTTTTGGCTTACAGTTTCAGAGGGTATGGTCTCTCACGGTAGGAAGGGCATGTGGAGCAGGAGCTTATTACAGTGGTCATTGTGGTGGCCTCTAGTGGCCTCTATCTGCCAGCCAGGCCTTATGTCCCAAAGATTTCTACAACTTCTCAAAATGGCATCACCAGGTATTCATATCCAAAGCATAATATTTAAATTGTTAGCAGTTGGAAATGATTATTTACAAGGTTGATTATTTTTCCACTACAGCCTAATGTGAATAACTGTACATATTGTGTCTTAGTTAGGGTTTTATTGCTGTGAAGAGACACCATGACCAAGGCAACTCTTTAAAGGAAAACATTTAATTGGGGCTGGCTTACAGTTCAGAGATTCAGTTCATTATCATCACAGTGGAGAGCATGCAGACAGACATGGTACTGGAGAGATGGCTGAGAGCTCTACAACTGCATCAGCAGGCAGTAGGAAGAGAGAGACACTGGGCCTGGCTTGAGCTTCTGAAACCTCAGAGCTCCACCCCCAGTGACATACTTCCTCCAACAAGGCCATACCTCCTAATAGTGCCACCCCTATGAGCCTATGGGGGCCATTTTCATCCAAACTACCACATATTGTAAAATTGAAATAGAAGTTTCTCGGATACATTATATATAATATATGCTTGGGTTTTATGATATTTTATTTCTTATTAAGGTTTTTATTTATTGTATTTTATTTTTTTGTTTATTTTTGAGATAGGCTTTCTCACCAGTTTGGCTAGGCTCACTGGCAGCAACCCCCTGTGGGTGCACCTTTCTCTGCTCTTCAGTGTGTGAGGTGGATATAAACTCAGGGCCTCATGTTTGCACTGCAGGTGCTTTATGGATTGAGCCACCTCCCGGCCCTGTGTTGGCTTAATAGGAAGGATCTCAACTTACTCTCTTTTTGTAGTCAAGAATGGCACTGAATTCCTTATTCTGCTGCTTCCCCCCACCTCTGAGTGCTGAACTTACAGATGTGAGCCACACTTAGCTTAATACTTTTCTGTCCAATCAAACAGACGGTTTTTAATTAATGTATTTTATAGAATCTAATATATATATATATATATATATATATATATATATATATATACACACACATACATACTGTGTGTGTGTGTGTGTCTGTGTGTGTGTGTGTGTGTGTGCGCGCGCGCTAATACACATTGGCCTAATATGAGAAGTTCAGGTAAAGCTGCTTGGAATCTCAGAAGACAGTGTCATTAATAACTACTTTCTGGGGAAAGCAGCAAAGTAATGCTTGAGACTCTAAGAACATGTATAGTTTGGGTACAGAGAGCTTGGGACAGTGGGTTTTCCAGATTGAGAGAACAGAATCCATTACCCGAGACAACACAGAGCTCCTAAGGAATGTCAGTTGTATAGTTTGATTGGAGCCTAGTGTAACTGAAAGGATATACTTGGAGATAGGACTTGAAAAGGTCTCTTGGGACCAGAAGACGGAAGACTTGAGGGTCATTAAAGAGAGATACAAACGTGTTTCTCAGCTAGATATGGTGTAAGACTTGAATCTCAGCACTTGGAAGGGGAGGCAGTTAGCAATATAGCAAGTTCCGGGCCATCCTGTGCTATTTGACCCTGTCTCAAAACAAACAAAATAAAACCTTTCCTTTATCTGTTACACATTTATTGAAAAAGAGTGGGAGACAGAGTTTGCATTCATTTCGTCTCATTTTTTTTTCTTGTAGTATGCTAAAGGCTGTTGATGTCTCTGACAAAGAGAAAGACATTCTCAGCACCTCAAAAGATCTTTTATCAAAACCAGAGAAAATGACGACACAGGAGCCTGATCCAGGAACCACTGCAGACTGTGGCGGTATAAAAACCCTATGTTTCAGTACTTCTGTAAATAAAATCATGGTGTTTGCATACGGTAGCTGCATAGTATAAAATGGTGTATGTGCTGTGTCCTTTGTTCTGGTACCATAAACCACCTACTTCATTTCTCAGCTAGTGTTTTCTTGAACATCTCCTGAACCCAACATCTCCCAAGGCTCATTCTGTCTTGAAAAATGCTTCTTATTGGCTCATTTCACAGGAAGAGCCAAAATTTGCCTCCCTGTGAATCTAATCCTTGTTCGGTGAATTGAAAACCCTAGAAATTTTGTGAGTTTTGTTTGTTTGTTTTGTTTTGAGACAGGGTCTTGTTATGTAGCCCAGGCAGGCCTTGAACCCACGGGCAGTCCTCCTGCTTTGGCTTCTTGAGTACTGAAATGGGAGAAAGTTCCCGTAAGTTTTACACACACACACACACACACACACACACACACACACACACACACACACACACACACACACACACACCCCTTTTGAGTCCTCTTTACAGCCACATTGATTTTTGTAGATCATGTAGCTTCTCCCTTGAGTATCTTCTGATCTGGGTCTGGGTGTCCATTGTATGTGTGTTAATCCCTTTTTTGCCCATTAAGTCGTTCCTTTCTTCTCTTCCTCTAATGCTGGGGTTGAACCCAGGGCCTCTGTGCTCTACCGTTTGTCTGTATCTCCAGCCCTGTTCCAGTTCTTTCTCATTCTCTTTTTGTTTTTTCCTTCTGCCCAGTATCTAGTTTAAATTAGCCAATAAATAATTTTGGAAGACTTTGAAAAACAACAGTCCTTTGATGGAACACTTTTGATTTCAGCTTCCTAAACACACAGGCCAGAAATGTGTGCTTTTATTTGGGGAGTTTTTCTGGTGGTATTTTTTATTTCTTTCCTCTCTTACTCTATCTAGAACCTCTGCTATTTGTATGTTAGACACCGCCCCCCGCCCTTAATTTTTCTCCTGTCTCTTACTTTTCTGCGAAATAGGAAAATTTTCTCAGGTTGTTTTGAGACTGGGTCTCACACTCAGAGCTGCCTGCCTCTACCTCCTGAGTGCTGGGATAAACTGCCAGCACCACCACAACCAGCCAAAATTTCTCAGTTGTATCACTAATTTTTTAAAATTTATTGTTTTTTATCTGTTCAGCTCCTGGAAACCAGGAGTTCTTCTCAGTCCTCCGAGTATTTATGTAGGTCATGAGAGTCCTCTTAGATACATCCATACTCTTCCTATGGGGCACGCGCCGATGAGAGTCCTCTTAGATACATCCATACTCTTCCTGTGGGGCACGCGCCGATGAGAGTCCTCTTAGATACATCCACATTCTTCCTGTGGGGCACGCGCTGATGAGAGTCCTCTTAGATACATCCACACTCTTCCTGTGGGGCACGCGCTGATGAGAGTCCTCTTAGATACATCCACACTCTTCCTGTGGGGCACGCGCTGATGAGAGTCCTCTTAGATACATCCATACTCTTCCTGTGGGGCACGCGCCGATGAGAGTCCTCTTAGATACATCCATACTCTTCCTGTGGGGCATGCGCTGTCGTGTGTGTAGTCTTCTCTGTTTTTGTTTTCTCCAAGTTTACTGTATTTCATTTTGGTCTTTGCTTTTCTTGCTGGAAATGTTCCTGAAATGTCTGTCTTTCACTCTTCTAAGCCCTACAATGCAAACTGTTTAATCCCCACTCCATCCCCTTAAGGTAGTTGTGCTATCTTTACTATAGAAATAAGGAAACTAAGTATGGAAGAATTAGTAATTCAATGGTTGCAGAACTAAGGCAGCACAGAGCTAGAATTTGAACCAGCAGCTTGGAGGCTCTTGAATTCATCCTGATAACCATGGTACTACCCTGTTTCTCCATCTCCAGCTTTCCCTATTATAATGGTTCCAAGTCTAAGGATGTGGGCAGAGGCCTTCAGTATCGTGAGAGACTTCCGTCTTAGCTGACATCAGTTAATTCGTTACCTAGTTATGAACCTTTCTTCAAGATATTTCTCTTCCTTCTCCATGGACTTACAAAAGACTAGGTTATAGGACTCCAGAAATATCATGGGGTGTTAGCTCTAAGTGGTGCAGACCGTCAGACCCGAGGATCTCCTGCTCCTGACAGTGTGTCAGCACTTGAACTAAACCTCTTTGCACCTTACTGAGTTTTGGGTTTTTGTTGAATTAGGGTCTCACACTATAGCCTGAGTAGCTTCTACTCACAATCCTGCTTCTACTTAATTCTACATAATCCTGAGACTGGGGTCACAGGCACGGAGCACCACTCTGCTCTTTAGCTTCCTTGTAGAGAACGAAGGGAATAATACCTGCCTTGCTGGATAGTTGTTAGATTTCAAGGTGTACTGTAGGCCATCAGGAAATGGCAGCTCTTATTATCTGCTAGTCTAGTAATCCTTCCAAAGAAGGAGCATTAAGATGGCTGTTCTGTTTTTATGAACTCTCCCTAACTCCTTAATTGTTTCCTCTTGTAGAGTTACAGAGCAGCATTTTGATAATGTGTTCTAGAGCTTTGCCTTGAGTCTACACCAAGGTCACTAGTTTGTAGCTTTTGGCAATCACTTTTTTTTTTAAATCAGAACAATGCTTGTCTGTCTTCACTTTCCTTTGAGGCCTTGGCCAGGGTTTTCCTTGTAGTCTGAGGTGGGATGTGTTCTGCCTAGTAGGGTGATCTGAACTCTTCGCCAATGTGTAATACTGGTATTTCTCGGAGCCTTCTTTGGCTTTCAGTTTTTCAGACCGTTGTGAAATCTCTTCTCTCCAGTCTGAGACTCCTTACATAGAGAACCAGAATGACCTAGGAGTTCAGCAGCTCCCAGTTCAACCCCTCACAGCCATGTCTTTTTTCCCATAGTTCTCAGCAGACATCCACACTTCCTACGTCTTTCTCATGGAGAGGGTTGTCCCCACACTGTTTTTATTGGCCCTGTTTTTTCCTCTTATCTCCTTCCTGCCCCTTCAACCCCTCAGCTGACTGTTTTTCATCTGCAGCCATGTAGTCTCATTTGTCTTCTCTGAGCATTTTCTGTCCTTTCTTATCTCCTTACCTCCAGAGAATATTGTCTCCCTGGAGCCCATGTAAACTGACATTGTCTCCTTCAGATCATGTGAAGTTGAGTGGGCATTTTCTTTGCTTATATTGCTTCCCTAAATCATTTATTTTCTTCCCTTCATCAGAAACATCAGTTCCTTTGATATTGTGTCTCTTAGTTGTGGGGCTTCATAAAGAAGTGGGGCAGGGGTGGCTTGTGAGGCAGTAGAGTGCTTGCCGGGCACGTGGGGTTCTGGGTTCCAACCTCATTCTTTCTTTATAATTGCTTCATAGACAAGCAGATGAGCGTACAGCAGCAGCTTATTCATGTGATGGAGCACATCTGTAAATTAGTTGATACTGTTCCTATTGATGAACTGAAAGCTTTGAATTGTGGGAATGAGCTGCTCCAACAGCGAAACATAAGGTATCTTGATTGTCCTCCTTCTGGAAGCTATCTGATTGTAGTTCTGCTACTCCAAGTAGAGAAACAGGCAAAATGTCCAGGCCTTCTGGACTAGACATAAGGATCATAGTCACATCACTAAGTTTTAAATTTATTTAATTTTCAAACCATTTGTTTAAGATTTGTATTCAAATTTTTGAGACTGGAAAATAATGATATATTTTTTCTGTAATTTCTGTTGGGGTTAAAAATATGAAAGTAGCCGGGCGGTGGTGGCGCACGCCTTTAATCCCAGCACTCGGGAGGCAGAGCCAGGCGGATCTCTGTGAGTTCGAGGCCAGCCTGGGCTACCAAGTGAGTTCCAGGAAAAGGCGCAAAGCTGCACAGAGAAACCCTGTCTCGAAAAACCAAAAAAAAAAAAAAAAAAAAAAAAAAAAAATATGAAAGTAAACTTTGTGACTACTGTAGTAAACTATTCACATTTAATATGTTCTCTTTCTTAAGAAGGAAGCTCTTGGCTGAAGCTGATTTTAATGGAAAGGATGTCAGTCTTCTGGGTTCACTGTGGAGATGCAGGCCTGACTCACATAGTAACACTGTGCGGGGTGATTCCTGCCCTGTGGGGCATCCTAGTAAGGAGTTAAAGTCTCCATCCTTTCCCTCACATTCCCTTTCCACTGAGGAGTGTTTACCAACCACCACTCCAGGAAAGACAGGATTCTCAGCCACCACGAAGAATCTCCTTGAAAGGCCGTTACTGAATTCCCATTTACAGAAGTCCTTTGTAAGTAGCAACTGGGCTGGAACACCAAGGGCAGAAGAAAGAAACGGAAGCACTTCTTTCCCAGGAAACGTGCTCACAAGCACTGCTGTGAAAGATCAGAATAAACATGCTGCTCCAGGAAATAACTTAGAGAGAGGAGGCCAGACCTTCTGTGATATTGATAATTTTAACATTGATGACTTTGATGATGATGATGATGATGACTGGGAAGACATAATGCACAGTTTTTCAGCCAGCAAATCTTCCACAGCTGCCTACCCACCTATCAAGGAAGGTGGACCAATTAAATCTCTATCAGAGAGGATTTCTTCAGCTAAGACAAAGTCTCTTCCAGTGGCATCAACTGCTCAAAATAAAAACCTCTCAGAGTCAATTTGGAATTACACTGGTAAGTCCAAAATAAATTGGATGTTTAAATATTATAGGAAAACAAAACTGTCCAAAATAAAAATTGTATAATAAAAGGCATAGCAGCACATCATTGCCTGAACACCACATTGTTTCTATGCAAATTTCTACTGATAATATGAATTAGAAATCACAAATTCAGAAGCAAGTTGCTCTTTTGTCTCTGTAGCAGCTGTAGGTTTATAAATGTGTTAATTACAACCTATTGTAGTAAAGCTCGGAAGTCATCGCAAATGCGCTTTGCCTTTAAACTAACGTTTTCTAGTCCCTGAAACAATAAAGCTCATGAGTGCCACATTTCGAGTGATTTGGGGGAAGGCAAAATAAAAAGGCAAATTGATATGCTCAAAATATGTATATTTTTAGAATTCTGGATGATGATAAGTAATTCATTTATAAAGTAGAAAACTGTTTCATGTCTCACAACATTAAAATGTGAGGCAGCATAAGAAGGATATGAAATCAGAAATTCAGCAAATATTAAATTAATCATGGTGGCTCACACCTGTAGTACCAGTACTTGGGAGGATGACAGTGAGTTTGAGGCTAGCCTGGACTACAGAGTGAGACCTTGTCTCAAAACAAACATCCCTTAAATGCTCCGTAAAGGCTCACGGTGCGCCATGTCCTGAGTTGGGCTCTGGGGAGAGTTCAGAGAAGCCATATTGGAGCTTGCAGTTTAATGAGGAATGAACTAAGCTACTGCAGAAGCCTCAGTAAAGCCTAAATAAATTTAAAGCCTTACGTCAGCCTATAAAGTTATCTCAAAGTGCTTTTACTGAAACAAGAATACATGTGCAAAGTTTTATGAAGTACAGCCCTCCCTATTTTTGCCATTGATGACTTAATAGCTCTGAGTTTGTTCTTACAGTGATGCTGTTGACCTTTGAAATAGCCACTAATGGGTTTATTTTGGTATGTTAGAATGTGTCATACTCGATGTCTGCAATTATCTTTGAGACAGTTGAGTGTTGGAGTGAGAGGAACTGCCAGAGCTGATGTGTGAGAACCTCTTGTTCTCTTGAACGCAGAGCAGGGAGAGAGGTGAGAGAGAGTGAAAGAAGTATCTGAGAAGTTCAGGTGACACTGAGGTTTCAGACCTGGGTGACTGTGACACCATTCACAGAAATCGGGAAGTCAGAAGGCAGAGTTCCATTTGGAAAACAGCTGAGAAGGGCTGTCTTCAGACTGGGACTTAAAATTGTTGGAGAGTCATTCAAGTAGACGCGTGTGTGTGTGTGTGTGTGTGTGTGTGTGTGTGTGTGTGTGTGTGTGTGTGTGTAGATGGCTTATCAGTTAAGAGCATTGGCTGTTTTTCTGAGAACCTGGGTTAGATTCTCAGCACTCTCATGGCAGATCACACCTGTCTGTAACTCCAGCTCTAGGGGATCTGACACCCTCTTTTGGCCTCCTCAGGCACCAGGTATGGCATGCAGTGCACAGACATACATGCAGACAAAACTCTCATACCTACAGAACAAAAATTCAATAAATAAATAAATGTTTTAAAAAGAAAGCAATTGTTGTACAGGCAGTTGGATGTATGTAGGATGGGACATCAGGAAACAGCTAGTCTTTCCCTGCACACAGATTACGTTTAAGATTTTAGGACTAGAAAAACTCCAAATAAGAATGTGGCAAGAGCCCAGTCTTAGGTATTTGAAAGACTCCCAAAGTTAAGGAGCAGGAGAAGTGGAGCCAAGGAAGGGGATTCAAAGCCAGGAGAGTGGCTGGGGTGTGTAGCTCACTGTGTGCCGTCCACTGTGCTGTGTCCTGGTGACAGTCCAGTGCAGCCCAGCACGAACACATCGTAGGTGTGCTTGCTAGCACAGAAGAAATGGAATAAAGCAAATAGGAAGGCTATGACTGTCTTGAAACCAGGGGAGAAGAGGAAGGATGGGTAAGTTGTATTGACAGGGACTGCAGAAACATTAAGGAGAGACTAGATTTGGGCTCTTAGGAATGTCTGAGACTAATTGGGAAGGAAGCCATGTAAACAGTTAAAGTGTGCTGTAGGAAAAGTGTGCCGTAGATGCTGCGGGAAAGGTGAATGCTAAACTGTGTTATTATATTAATGCACTGATGTTTTTTAAACATTGATTGTTTTTGTAGATAAGTTGGAACAAAATTTATCATCAAAAAATCTGAAACATGAACATTTTCAAAGTCTTGATTTTCCTCATACAAAAGAAATGATGAAGATTTTTCATAAGAAATTTGGCTTACATAATTTTAGAACTAATCAGCTAGAGGCGATCAATGCTGCACTGCTTGGTGAAGATTGTTTTATCCTAATGCCCACTGGTATGTATTTTTAGATCTGAATTGGCAGGAGTCCATTGGCAGATGTTAAATGAAAGCTCTTTAATAGAAGTAAAAGGAACACCTCACATTATTCTTATTGTTTAGGGGCCTTTAAACCCCCCAAAACCACAGTAAGAAAGTCTGTCAGCTCAGGCTCTGTTCTAGTTGACGTGATAATGTTTCTAACTCCTTAAGGGTGTGAACTCACAGCTCATTGGATTGACCTGGTGTAGAGCTTTTCCTTGAGAAATTTTCTTTTTTCTAATCTAAACAAGCCTAGAAGGGAACAGAAGATGGATGTGAGAGCCCATGACCATTTCTGGCTAATGTTTAGTGCCGCCTGGCAGTTGTGGTCATCATTCTAGAGTGAAGGCCCAGGCTTCCAGTGTAGCTCTGCTCCTTGCCAGGGAGGGGTGTACCCATGGACAAGCCACTCCACTCTTTGTGGATATGTTCAGGACAGTATGCAGTACAGTGCCCACCTCACAGGTGAGACTCGAGTGGAAAGGATACAGCATGATTAGCCTCAGTTTTGAAGAGATCGGGACTGTGTATTGTCATAAAAGCCTATAAGGTTTGGGCAGTGGTGGCGCACGCCTCTAATCTCAGCATTCGGGAGGCAGAGTAGTCGGATCTCTGTGAGTTCAAGGCCAGCCTGGTCTACAGAGTGAATTCTAGGACAGGCTCCAAAGCTACACAAAGAAACCCTGTCTCGAAAACAAAACAAACAAAAAAGCCTGTAAGAGCTGCTCGGTGATTTGAAATCAAATACATAAGATTATTAGCTAAGTGGTTGGTTAGGCTTGGAAGCAGGTTCAGTGCCTCCATGTAGAGCTGTGTGTTACTTGCCTTGTTACAGCCTTTAGCAAGTCCCAGTTGTTGCTGCTGTTATTGTCACATACTAGTGACTTGACATCTGAATTCTTTCAAAGCGGTTTAATTTTTTTTTTTTTATTATCACATAGTTGTAGATACGATGAGTGTTGGGAGGCATACATGTGAAGGTCAGAGGATAGCTTTGGGAAGTCAGTTCTCTGCTCCCACCTTTCCATGCGTTCCATGGGTCTCACTCTCGTCGTCAGACTTGTACAGCGAGTTTTTATCCAGGCCCTCAGGCTGATTTAAAGATGAGACAATGTTGACTTATCCACCTTTCAGACTTTATTGACTTAGTGACACTGTGCCTCTGTTTCAACCCTGGTTTGGTCCTTGAAAGCTCTGACACTGGAAAGGAGTTTGTTAGTCATCTAATCAGGCTTTCAGTGGCTCTTCCCAGCTTCAGGAGGGGTTTTTAAATCCTTCCTACCCTGGTTTCAATCTCTTGACATAAAAAATAAAAAGATTTCAATAAAGTTTCTCTTGGACAACTCTTTTTTGCTTTGTTTTGTTTTGTTTGAGACAACGGTTCTCTGTGTATTCTTGGCTGTCCTGGAACTCAGAGATCCACCTGCCTCTGCCTCCCGAGTGCTGGCATTAAAGGTGTGCACTCCCACCCCCACCCCATCCCTGGCCTTGGACAGTTCTTTAAACCAGTGGCCTCATGCATTTTACATTGAGGCCTATCTGAGCTCATGCAGCTAATTAAGTGGGAGAGCATGTCTATTCTCAGCATCCCACTCTTGCCTTGACATGTCCATGTATATGCCAAATTGAAATTTACTGTCTATGTGGAAAAGACAGAATGTAGTATATAGTTTTAGAATAAATGGAAGTCCTAAAAACTACCTAGCCCAGCTTTTGCCATTAGTAAATGGGTAAAATTGTAAATTAACTAGAATATAATCATGTAGTTATTTTAAAATATGTTCTTGGGGGCTGGAGGCATCGCTCAGTGGTAGAACACTTGCCTGCCATGCATAGAGCCCTGGGTTTGAGCCCCAACATGGGGCAGGGCAGAGAGACAGAAATAAATATGTACTTACTGTCTCACCATTTTTATATTAGAGTAAATAGCAAAATTGTGTTAGATTTTCAGATTTTCTTTTTCACTATCTCCTGTTAATATGGACACAGGTAATTTTACTCTGTTTTCAGAGGAAGATTGGTACTGTTAGTTTAGAAATCAGAGTACTGGAAGTTAAAGCTGTATTAGAAGGCTCAGCCTAATGGTTTTTAAATGCTGGGGTCTGTGCTGGGTATGTAGCTTGGTGGGAAAGCTCTTGCCAGTGTGTGCAGGAACCTCAGCAGGGCTTGAGGGTAGGGAGGTAGGACTGAGGGGTGTCTTAGTACTGAGCCAGAATCTTTGTTTTTATTGTTTATATTTTATTGCATTATATAAAAAGCAGTTACGTTAGTCCTAGACTTAGGATTTTTAGAGACCTCTTACATTGCCAGAAACAAAAAAAGTTTATTCTATTTGGGTTTCTCTGGTAGACTTTTAAACAGTTCTGTTGATTTAAGTATTATATTTGGTTTCCTTTTGCCTTCACACTGAAGATGGAAGCTGACTTTTTTTTTGTTATTTGTCTTTCAGGAGGTGGTAAAAGCCTGTGCTACCAGCTGCCGGCCTGTGTCTCTCCGGGGGTCACTATTGTCATATCTCCCTTGAGGTCACTAATAGTAGATCAAGTTCAAAAGCTGACTTCCTTTGATGTAAGTTCTTACTAAACTATTCATGAGAATGTGCCTTAGAACACATTTCAGTATGCTAGGAAATCTCATTAACTATTGTTTGAATTATAAGAGTGATTCCCAAATTACTCTGGATGTATAGCTCCATGGCAGAGAGCTTGCCTAGCATACTGCAAAAAAATAAAAAATAAATAGGATTAAATAAATAAAGCATATAGTTAAATTAAGCTGTAGAGTTAGGCACATGTGTTAAAACATTTTGATTCAAATAACCATCTGTAATTCAATCTGATTTTTTTCTTCTACAAGAATGTACTTTAGTGAGAGCTCTTAACCTATATTTTGCTGATGTAATTTTTTTACTAATATAAAGGGGTTTCTTTTTTTGGCTAGTGTGAGATCATCATAGTTTTTTCCCTATGTACATGTGTGCTTGTATACCTGTCTTTTTCTTCATTGCTGAATTAAAGGAATTATGACTGCATTCTATTAAGTTCTTCACATTGCAGAATTGGTTACAGTGTTATGAGTCACATCATCTCAATGTGACAAATGGTTTGATTTTTCTTCCAAAGAATATCAATGCAGTGATGGTAACCATTGCCCAGCTGTTCACAATGTTACAGCTATCACCCACCATCACTACACATTGAAACATTGAAGATACAGTAAGACCTTTAAGGTAGCCAGACCAGCCATGGTGGTGCACACCCTTTTTTTTTGGTTTTTCGAGACAGGGTTTGTTTCTCTGTAGTTTTGGTGCCTGTCTTGCTCTGTAGCCCAGGCTGGCCTCTAACTCACAGAGATCTGTCTGGCTCTGCCCCGAGTACTGGGATCAAAGGCGTGCGCCACCACCGCCCGGCATAGTGCATGCCTTTGATCCCAGCATGTAGGAGGCAGAAACAGTACCCTCTGGGTCAGTTAGAAGCAAGCATGACCTACTAGCAAGTTTCGGGCTAGCCAGGGTTGCATTGAGACCTTGTCACACACAAAGACACACACATACACCATGGTTTTGTTCAGATAGAAGAGAAACAGCAATATAGAAAATGAAAGGAACAGTGGGGAGGCTTTTGCAGTTTTCCTTGATGCAGAAGCATCTTGCCGTATCACAGGCTAACTTCAGATTTACTATGCTGCGAAAGCTGGCCTCGGACTCTTTATCCTCCTTCCTCAGCCTCCTGAGTGCTAGGCTTCCTCATGTGTCACCACACTGAGGTGGGAAGACTATTCTGAGTTGTGTTTAATATGAATTTTTAAAAATGTGTGCAGTAGCTAAATATGGCACACACCTATAATCAGCACTTTGGAAGCTGGTGATGCAGGAGAATCACAAGTTTGAGTCTCAAAGTGAGATTCTGACTTACAAAACAGAACTTAAAAATAAAAGTTTGTACATTGATTGTTATTATGGTGAGATATTTGTTTCTTTTGGCAGGTGTGATATATGACATATAAAATATTTATAAAACCTAAAAAACATACTCATGTCTGACTAATATATAAATAAAAGGAAATTTAAATTATTACTTTTAACTTAGATTCCTGCTACATATCTGACGGGGGATAAGACTGACTCCGAAGCTGCAAATATTTACCTCCAGTTATCAAAAAAAGATCCAATTATCAAGCTTTTGTATGTTACTCCAGAGAAGGTTTGTATTAACCTCACTGTTTACAGTGTAATATTACAACACACTAAAATACATCTGTGTTAAGAACTTGGTCATAACTTTTTATATACAAGAATGAGACCTTCACCCCAGACCATAAATAGTAAAATTTTCTCCATCTCCTTTATGATTCCTTCTTTCTCCAGTTTGTTCTGAAACATTTGAGAGTGAGTTGCAGACTTACCATTTTAACCCTAATTTACTTCAGTGTGCATTTCCTGACCATATAGCATTCCCTTAGTAACTACAGTATAACTTACCCGTCAAGAAATGTATGGTGACACATACTGTTACTTAACCTGTTGACCTCCGGTAATGATCTTTGTAAAAAAGAGAAAATCCCAGTTTTGTAGCTGGAGGTTTTCCTGTGTCCCACCTGGTCCTGCAGCCACTGAGACCCACATAAACACACAGAGGCTTATATTATTTACAAACTATAAGGCCTAATGGCTCAAGCTTCTCGCTAGCTAGCTCTTACATCTTAATCCATTTCTATAAATCTATACTTTGCCACATGGCTTGTGGCTTACCAGTACTTTTACATCTTGCTTCTCCTGGCAGTGTCTCCTCCCTCTCCTTTCTCCTCCCACTCACTCTCTTGGATTTTCCCACCTGGCTCCATCTTGCCTTGCCATAGGCCAGTGCAGCTTTATTTATCAACCAATCAGAGCAACACATATTCACAGCATATGGAAAGACATCCCACAGTACAGTTTGATCTCCTTTTATCTAAACAGTTTAATGATTTTGACATTTTAGAAACATAAGGGCCAGTTTGGAAGACTGTGCCTCAATTTGATTTGTCTTATTTCCTGCTGATTAAATTCATGTTACTCAATCAGCAGGGATGTTGCAGAAGTGGTATTCCCATAAATGCTATCAGAAGACACTTGGTATTAACTCATCCCATTGCCAGTAGTGTTCATTAACCAATCACTTGATTACAATAGTACTGCCGGCCGCTTCTCCTTTGTACTTTCCATTCCCTTTGTCTCTAATTAGTAGATACCCTGTTGTGGGAGGTCCTGAGACTAGAGAAGTACCCAGTTAGACATCAGAGCCTGCCTCCAAGTTCAGTATCCATTGAAGATTCTTCCCCAGTTATTACTGTAATGAATGCCAAGTTTTGATTCTACTAATACAGTCCATCCTGGCATAATGAGAGCTACGTATTTATCAATGTGAACTTGTGGGTTCTTAATTTATTTATTGAGTTTCAATCAATTATCACTATATATTTTAATTGCCTAGATTTGACCAGTGAGGAAGTTTGATCAACGTGGCTTCAGCGTCCTTTACATATATCCCTGTCAAGACATGCTTGGAATGTTTGCTTCTGAACAAAGCTAGAGTACAAACATATAGCTATCTATATGTGTAGTAATACAGTTTTCCCTAAATATCATGCACATACCGAACACATCTAAAGTCCTATTATCAGGCTGGCTGGGTGGCCCAGCTGGTAAGGGTCCTTGTCATATAACCCATTGACCTGAGTTTAATCCTGGGGTCTCACATGATAGAACCAAACACACTAAGTCTTCTGACCTTTACACATGCATGCACACAAAATTAATAAATATATGTTAAAAAAATAAATTCTACTGCCAAAATAAACATGTGGTTACTCTCAGATATGCTGAAGCAGAAAAAAAAAAATTGAGCCACTAACCTGATAAGTAAAACTGTTAGATGTGCGTGAACATCCTAAAGTGTCTCATTTGCTGTTTTACTTCTGTTCTCTTCATAGATAAGGGCTAGTTCTAATAGGGAGTGATTGTAATGGTAGTGAGCGTGTCATTCAGGTGATGTGCTTAGAGCTCTCCCGTATCTCTGATCTAGGTCTGTGCGAGTAACAGGCTGATTTCTACTCTGGAGAATCTGTATGAGCGGAAGCTCTTGGCACGCTTTGTCATTGATGAAGCCCATTGTGTGAGTCAGGTAAGTTTGTCTCGGAGCATGAGTAAGTTTACGCCACCAGTAGTACTCAGAGCCACAGCACTGAAGCGCAGCACAGGCTGCCTCACGGGAGAGTAAAGTGCTTCCTTTCTATTGGCCAGTGTTGGCCTTCACAGAAGAGAGATACAGATAACCTAGAGCAGTATTTTTTTCCAATTAGTGGGGTCATGATTTTCGTCAAGATTACAAAAGGATGAATATGCTTCGCCAGAAGTTTCCTTCCGTTCCAGTGATGGCTCTCACAGCCACAGCGAACCCCAGGGTACAGAAGGACATCCTCACGCAGCTGAAGATCCTCAAACCTCAGGTGTAAGTTGTTAGAGGGCGTGGTTTTGACTCTCAACTTCTGTCGGGTTTTAACATTGCAAGTGTCCAGATTGTACCCAGGACAGCTAATCAGAATGTTTGAAGTTGGGAGACTTTTTTTTTTTTTTTCAATCTCAAGTGATTCCAGGTACAGTAAAATTTGGGGAAAGAATCTGGGGTCTTTCTTAACAGAATTAAAACTCCAGAGCAGCTTGAAGGCACAGCACATAAAGGCACCTGTGGCCAGGCCTGAGTGCCTGAACAAAACCCCTGGTATCTTTGTGGTAGAAGGATAGCACTGTGCCTTCCTGCCTTTTTGCCGTTTGACCTCCACAAGCAAGCCCCAATAAACAAACAAATAAATATAAACAAAAGTAAAATTATCCCACCTTGTACTTTAGGAAGGGAACAAATCAAATTTGGTACTGGGTGACCCTGGTATAATCCTTTTTTTTGGGGGTGTGGGAGGGTTCGAGACAGGGTTTCTCTGTGTAGCTTTGCACCTTTCCTGGAACTCACTCTGTAGCCCAGGCTGGCCTTGAACTCACAGAGTTCCGCCTGGCTCTGCCTCCCTAGTGCTGGGATTAAAGGCGTGCACCACCACCGCCCAGCTATAATCCTTTTAAAAGATTAGCTTTTATGTATTTTATTTTGGCTTCCTACACTCCCACAGTATACTTCATGAAATGAACAAATGACCCTGCTGTCATTTTTTTTTCTTAAAGTTTCAGTTATATTTATATACATGATTTGAGAAGAACCTAGAGCCCTCTTAGAAAGGCCTTTCGCTTGGACTTCATTGTTTTATCATCAGTACAGTGGCTGCACCTTAATCTACTGCTATTCAGCCAACAGTTGGGACTCCGAAGGTACCAGCTTGCTTCTCTGGCAGCAGCCCGAGCGCAGCCTAGCGGGATTCCTGCAGGCACTGGCGCTGCCTGAAGTTTTGACTAAATCTCTGTCGGTCTATTTATAAGTAAGACTTGAGATTCCAAGGCTGGGGTGAAACCTGCTAGCTAACTTCTCTTTGCTGGCATCTCAAAAAAGCCACGACAGCAGTGCCACCCAGTCCTCCCTACTACCTCCAGTGCATCTGTCTCTTCCAGATGCCCTCTGATGCGCTTTGATGACTCTCTGTCAGCGAGTTGCTAACTCAGCCTCCTGACCCAGGGTTCATTTTACTTAATTAATGCAAATGCAAACTTGGGGTTCACAGTGTGATCAAATATCCTCCATCCCTTCATCTCAGCAGCATTCTTCTTCCTACCACCAGTCCATAACTAATTGGTAACAAAAGCCACTAGAAAATATTCCACTGTATATATTTAGGTTGTACTGGGCTATTGTGCCTCTTCCTGAGTTTGTTGAGACAGAGACATTCTTTGTTACATTCATTTACTCAGCAAATACTTAACATAGGGTTGTGTACTTAGGTAGTTTTGAGGTTGAGGTAGAATGCCTGGAGAAATAATGGCTGAACAGAATATTTAGGTGGATTTTTATTTATTTTTTAAATAATTTATTTTTATTTTATGTGTATGAGTATTTGTCTGCTTGTATGTCTGGGACATGTATGCCTGGTACCCATACAAGCCAGAAGACATCAAATCTCTGGGATGGGAATTACAGATGGTTGTAAGCCACCATGTGGGTGCTGGGAACTGAACCTGGATCCTTTGAAAAAGCAGCAGGGTTCTTACTTTAATGCTGAGCCATTTCTCCAGCCCAAGGTGGATATTTATTTATTTATTTATTTTGGTTTTTCGAGACAGGGTTTCTCTGTGTAGTTTTGGTACCTGTCCTGGACCTTTCTCTATAGACCAGGCTGGCTTCGAACTCACAGAGATCCCCCTGGCTCTGCCTCCCCAAGTGCTGGGATTAAAGGCGTGTGCCACCACTGCCCAGCTCAAGGTGGATTTTTAAAGCACAGCTTTTGTTCATTTGAAAATAACAAACATATGGTGGCACACACATGTAGACCAGCTCTTCAAGAGGCTGAAATGAGAGGATGGCTTAAGCGTTATGAGTTTAAGGATGGCCTAGGTACCATAGTAAGACCCAGCCTTTGAAAAGAAGGAAACAAGAAACTGTCTGTGTAAATGTTGTAAACATAGCTCAGCACAGTAGTGCATTCCTTTAATCCCAGCACTTGGTAGGCCAGAAGCAGGCCAGCCTGATCTACATAGCAAGTTCTAGACCAGCCAACGTTACATATTGAGACCTTGTCTTCCCCCTCCAATACTGTAAGCATAAAAATAATAAAAGGCACACACATGGTACACATACATGCATGCAGGCAAAACACTCATCCACATAAAATTAATAAATCTAAATTAAAAATAACAAAACTATCTCTCAGAGAGTTGTGCCCTGAATGGAAAGTCTTGTGAGGGCTCTGGGGTCATGTGCTAGCAGAGGTGCATGCAGAGCCTCTGGGGTCAATGCGCTAGCAGAGGTGCATGCAGAGCCTCTGGGGTCAGTGTGCTAGCAGAGGTGCATACAGAGCCTCTGGGGTCATGTGCTAGCAGAGGTGCATGCAGAGCCTCTGGGGTCAGTGTGCTAGCAGAGGTGCATGCAGAGCCTCTGGGGTCACGCGCTAGCAGAGATGCATGCAGAGCCTCTGGGGTCAGTGTGCTAGCAGAGGTGCATGCAGAGCCTCTGGGGTCACGCGCTATCAGAGATGCATGCAGAGCCTCTGGGGTCAGTGCGCTAGCAGAGGTGCATGCAGAGCCTCTGGGGTCATGTGCTACCAGAGGTGCATGCAGAGCCTCTGGGGTCATGTGCTAGCAGAGTTGCATGCAAAGCCTTTGCAGATCAGAATAGCAGCTGCCAGAATCTCAGACCTAAGCAAACAGTTCATGCAGCACTCTGGTTTCTTCCAGCCTAAGTTGTCTGTACCCGTCTACAATATTTAGTTGCTTTTAGCTCTTTTATATTCCACTAATGACCATACTTGAGTGCAAAATTTTAGAGTTTTGTGTGTATAATCACAAAATGTATAATGGAATGTTTTAATTTCATGTCACTTACAATGAAGAATATTTATGTAAATTTGGGATAAGAGATATATTTCACTTCCATATTAGATATGTGCTTTAACACTATTTAAAATGTTATATTTTAGGTTTTAATAAATGCTGAATGCTAGAAATTTGTTTCTACAAATGCTATACTTTCTATAAAATGTTTTATTTCTGTCCCCACTCCGCCCGCTGCCCCCCCCCCCCCCCTTTGTGGTTTTCATTGAGATGTTGTACAGAGCTTCGATATGAAGCCCTAGCTGGCTTGGAACTTACAATATAGACCCGGCTGCCTCATCTTCCTACATGCTATGATTATAGATGTGCACCACCATGCTGGGTTATGTGTATAGTGTGTGTGTGTGTGTGTGTGTGTGTGTGTGTGTGTAGATGCTTATGTGTGTGTGTGCATGTTTCTGGAGGCCAGAGATCAAAATCAGGTGTTGTTCCTTAGGAGACATCACCTTGTTTTTTGGAGACAGGATTTCCTTGACCTGGAGTTCACCATGTTGGCTAGACTGACTGGCCAGAAAGGTCCAGGGATCCACCTGTCTCTGCCTTCCCAGTGCTGGGATTACAAGTGGTGAGAGATGTCAGTAAGTTATATTCATTGGCAACAGCTCACGGTCAGAAGAAGCCATGTAAATTTCCTTGCATTTGAATGACTTTCTGGAAATATAGGACTTACGTTTTATGTTTGAATGAACAGTACATGTGTTTATCTAGATGCAGAAGCCTTGAATCTCCTTTCTGGAACTGTGGGAAAGCAATGTGCCTAAGAAAGCAAAAGTGCACATATCTGGATGTTAGTACATGGTTCCGTGTGCATATCTGATACTCAGTAAGAATGAATAAGTGAAACATATGGAATGACTTGGTAAATGTGGATAAAATATAACTGTTGATTTCTTTTCTTTCTTTCTTTCTTTCTTTTTTTTTTTTGTTTTTTGTTTTTTGTTTTTTGAGACAGGGTTTCTCTGTGTAGCTTTGCACCTTTCCTGGAACTCACTTTGTAGACCAGGCTGGCCTCGAACTCACAGAGATCCACCTGCCTCTGCCTCCCGAGTGCTGGAATTAAAGGCGTGTGCCACCACTGCCCGGCTTGTTGATTTCTTAATATATTTGCTGTTTCTGCTTTAGAAACTTAGAACTCCCATAGTAGAAGTAGATTTTAAGAAGCACTTTCTGATACACTGTCTCCTGATCTTTTTCTGCCAGTAGGTCCAATGTGAATTGATTTGCCAACTGCTGCCGTGTCGTGGTGTTGGTGAAGTCAGGTGCTCCGAGGTTTAGAGTAGTAGCCCCAGTTGCCTCTCTCCCCATAATTCTGGGATAATATTCTTCCTCCTGAGCTTGTAATAATAAATTCTACCTTGTGAAGTACAAGAATGGCTAATTATTAAACACAAGATTTCATGCCCTTCTCTTAGGACCCTAGCAGCTGAACCAGGAGAGAACAGGGAGTTAGACATGCAGGTTTAACTGTGTACAGCTTCAGTAGTAGCTGACACACACCTTGCCCCACAGCGTGCCGGCTGCTGCTCCCAGCATCGTATATCACATTTTATGTGTCTACCATCACAAAAATCTTGCATGATATATAATCCTCCATTTCCTCATTCTCTAGATAAGGAAACTGAGCCACAGTCAAGTGACAAATTTGAGTCATAGCATGCATGATAGAAAATGCCTGAAATCCAGCTCTTGGTTTGTTTGATATGTGGTTTTGAGACAAGATCTCACTACGTAGCCTGGAGCTCACTATGTAGACTGGCTGACCTCTCACTTACAGAGATCCATCCACCTGCTTCTGTTTCTGCTTTGGCTTCTGCTTCCTAGGTGCTGGGATAAAGACATATGCCACCATACCAACATCTCAGCACTTGGGAAGCAGAGGCAGGGGAATCAGAAGTTCAAAGTCATCTTCAATATATAGCAAGTTAGAGGCCACCCTGTAGTACATGAGATGATGTTGGGGGGTAT